AAATAAATCGAAAGACTCGACTCCTCAGGTTTAGTCCAGGATCCGGCTCCTCAGAGTCCCGCTCAAAGTTTCAGTCCATCCACCGGTCCAGACCCGGTCCGGACTCATGTGCTGAGCGCGTGCATGTGAACCGGCGCGTGCCCTCTGCCCGCGGCTCTATGGCACGCGCTCGGGTCCTCGTGCCGCGCCTCGTGCTTGCGGAAAGATGCGAGTCTTTTGAAGCGCTTCCCGCAGCGCGCGCACTCGTGAGGCGCGTCCTCGGCGGAGTCCGAGTCGCTGTGCGCGTGCTCGCGGGGCCGGTGCCAGCGGCGGTGTGACGCGAGGTTCGCGCTGCAGCTGAACGCTTTGCCGCAGTCGCAGCGGTATTCCACGCGCACGATGCGCGAGCACCGGTGCTGCGCGAGCGCGAGCGGCTCCGGGAAGGTCTCGCGGCAGAGTTGACACACGAGCCCCGCGGGAGGCGCGTGCGCCCGCAGCTCCGGTGCCGCCTCTTTGATCTTCAGCCCGAGCACCGGGGACGTGGTGACGTCATCGCGCACCTGAAGCCTCCGCGCAGGTGTTTTCTTTTTCCGCTCCTCCGGGCGCGCGCGTTTGGCTCTGGAGTCCGTGCGCGTGGAGGTGATTTCTGGCGCGTGCCCCGTCTCCGGCTCCGGGAGCGCGGCGCGTGCGGGGAAAGACTCCGGGGTCACGGGGCTGAAGCGGCGCTCGTGCTCGCGGCTCACGGGGCGCGTGGGGCTGTGCAGCGCGTGCACGGTCTCGGGAATTCCAAACTGCACCGGGAGCGCACGCGGAGGCGTCTGTGCGCGCGGCGGGAAAAGTGGGAAAACTCCAGGCGCGTGCGTGACGTGCGGCGCGTCCTCTTCTTCCGCGCGCACGCGGTACGACACCGCGCTCGCGCCCCTCCTGCGCTTGATCATCAGTCCGCGAGGCATCTTTCCGTTTGTCCTCGCGCTCAGAGACACGCGCTTTTTAAGCGGCCCCGCGACACGCGCCGCCTCCAGGACCAATCACAGCTCGCCCCCTGTCCTCGCGCCCCGCTGCGTCACAATGGGCCGCACGTGCCCACAATGGGGTCCGCGCGACCCCGAAAAACAAAAGAAAAACTGGAGTGAGTCCGGATTAAAGCTGCCCCGGGTCAGGACCAGGACTCTGCGCTCTAGACCTGGACTAGACCTGGACTAGACCAGGACTGGACCTGGTCTGAACCTGGTCTCAGTCCAGGTCTGAGACTCTGGGTCCAGCTCATCACAGACAGGTCCCCCCCTGTCAGGCGGGTGTGTGGCAGGTGTAGCCCACAGGAGGGTGGACCTGTGAGGAGGGGGGGCTCAGACTCAAAGGACAGGGGAGGGGGAGGGGGGTTCAGCCTGAGGCTCGGGTCAGACCCCCCCTCGTCTGTCTGGGGGGGGGGTCATTATTAATATAATGAAAGTCTCGTGGCCTCGTGGTTTTATTTGTTTCTGTTTTTGAGGAGAAGGTCACAGGGAAATTCTAGTGGAAGCAGAAACACTGTAGTACTAGTAGTAGTAGTATTATGACAGTAGTAGTAAATAGTGTGTGTGTGTGTGTGTGTATGTGTGTGTATGTATGTGTATGTGGGGTGGGGGGGGCAGGGTGGTGTCGTGTGCAGCTGTATGTAAATGAGGGACATATGTCTCTGTTGGACAAAGCTCTGAACTCCTCCGTCTCAAACTGGGTCGAATCCTCAAATTCCAAATTCTACACAAAATCAGTTTCATAAAAACCTCCAGAGACGACCTTTTGTTTAACTTGATTCTGATTTGATTTTTGAGTTATTATGATTCAGACGTGACGCCTGTTCACCGTTTCTGCATCTTTTTATTAAATATAAAACATGGGAAATGTCCAAATGTAACAAGTTTATTCACACATGTACGAGCAGAAAACAGGACCAAAAGTGTGGAAGAAATGTGCGGGAAAGGGACTGCAGTAGAAGTACTTTGACAGTAATAGTAGTAATAATAGTATTGATAATATTAATAGTAGTTGTAATAGTAGTAGTAGCAGTAGTTGAAGTAGTAGTAGTAGTAGTAATAGTATTAGTATTGGTATTTGCAGTAGATTTGTGGCGTGTGTGACCGGTGCAGCCGCAGCAGCAGCAGGTGTCGGGGGAGACTCGACGTTGAGCCTCATTTGAATCACAAAAGAAGAGTTAATGTTCAGCTCCGACAGATGTCCTCCTCCTCCTCCTCCTCCTCCTCCTCCTCCTCCTCCTCTCCAGGGCGTCTTCTGACCCTCTGACCCTGTGACCCTGTCCCCTGCTCTGCTCCGTTTGCCTTTTGCACTAAAACCTTTGAAAATAATAATAATCAGAGTTTCTTGTTCTGGTCAGAGTTTTTTGTTCTGGTCAGAGTTTTTTGGTTTATTCAGTTTCTTGTTTTGGTCTTGGTCAGAGTTTCTCGGTCAGAGTTTCTTGGTCAGAGTTTCTTGTTCTTGGTTAGAGTTTCTTGTTTTCATCAAAGTTTCTTGTTCAGAGTTTCTTGTTCTTGGTCAGAGTTTCTCAGTCAGAGTTTCTCAGTTTGGTCAGAATTTCTCCGTCAGAGTTTCGTGGTCAGAGTTTTGTGGTCAGAGTTTTGTGGTCAGAGTTTCTCAGTCAGAGTTTCTCAGTCAGAGTTTCTAGATCAGAGTTTCGTGGTCAAAGTTTCTTGGTTTAGTCAGAGTTTCATGGTCAGAGTTTCTCGGTCAGAGTTTTGTGGTCAGAGTTTCGTGGTTTAGTCAGAGTTTCGTGGTCAGAGTTTCGTGGTCAGAGTTTTGTGGTCAGAGTTTCTTGGTTTAGTCAGAGTTTCGTGGTCAGAGTTTTGTGGTCAGAGTTTCTTGGTTTAGTCAGAGTTTCGTGGTCAGAGTTTTGTGGTCAGAGTTTTGTGGTCAGAGTTTCGTGGTCAGAGTTTTGTGGTCAGAGTTTCGTGGTCAGAGTTTCTTGGTTTAGTCAGAGTTTCGTGGTCAGAGTTTTGTGGTCAGAGTTTCTTGGTTTAGTCAGAGTTTTGTGGTCAGAGTTTCGTGGTCAGAGTTTCTTGGTTTAGTCAGAGTTTTCAGAGTTTTGTGGTCAGAGTTTTGTGGTCAGAGTTTCGTGGTCAGAGTTTTGTGGTCAGAGTTTCGTGGTCAGAGTTTCTTGGTTTAGTCAGAGTTTCGTCGTCAGAGTTTCTTGGGTTAGTCAGAGTTTCTAGATCAGAGTTTGTGATCAGTGTTTCGTGGTCAGAGTTTCGTGGTCAGGTTTCGTGGTCAGAGTTTTGGTCAGAGTTTGTGGTCAAAGTTTCTTGTTTAGTCAGAGTTTTGGTCAGGTTTCAGAGTTTTGGTCAGAGTTTTGTGGTCAGAGTTTCGTGGTCAGAGTTTCTTGGTTAGTCAGAGTTTTCGAGTTTTGGTCAGAGTTTTGTGGTCAGAGTTTTGTGGTCAGAGTTTCGTTGGTCAGAGTTTTTCAGAGTTTTGGTCAGAGTTTTTGTGGTCAGAGTTTCGTGGTCAGAGTTTCGTGGTCAGAGTTTCGTGGTCAGAGTTTTCAGAGTGGTCAGAGTTTCTTGAGTTTAGTCAGAGTTTCTGGTCAGAGTTTTGTGGTCAGAGTTTCTTGGTTTAGTCAGAGTTTCGTGGTCAGAGTTTGTGGTCAGAGTTTCGTGGTCAGAGTTTTCTAGTCAGAGTTTTTAGTCAGAGTTTCGTGGTCAGAGTTTCGTGGTCAGAGTTTGGTGTGGTCAGAGTTTCTTGGTTTAGTCAGAGTTTTGTGGTCAGAGTTTCGTGGTCAGAGTTTTTGTGGTCAGAGTTTCGTGGTCAGAGTTTCTTCAGGTTTTAGTCAGAGTTTTCGTCGTCAGAGTTTCTTGGTTTAGTCAGAGTTTCTAGATCAGAGTTTTGTGGTCAGAGTTTTTGTTTCAGTCAGAGTTTCGTGGTCAGGTCAGAGTTTTGTGGTCAGAGTTGGTCAGTCAGATTTGGTCAGAGTTTGTGGTCAGAGTTTTGTGGTCAGAGTGGTCAGAGTTTCGTGGTCAGAGTTTTTGGTCGTGGTCAGAGTTTCGGGTGTTGGTCAGAGTTTTGTGGTCAGAGTTTGGTGGTCAGAGTTTTGTGGTCAGAGTTCGTGGTCAGAGTTTCGTGGTCAGAGTTTTTCGTGGTCAGAGTTTCTTGGTTTAGTCAGAGTTTCTAGATCAGAGTTTTGTGGTCAGAGTTTTGTGGTCAGAGTTTCGTGGTCAGAGTTTCGTGGTCAGAGTTTTGTGGTCAGAGTTTCATGGTCAGAGTTTCGTGGTCAGAGTTTTGTGGTCAGAGTTTCGTGGTCAGAGTTTGGTGGTCAGAGTTTCATGGTCAGAGTTTTGTGGTCAGAGTTTCATGGTCAGAGTGGTTCAGAGTTGGTCAGAGTTTTGGTCAGAGTTTCGTGGTCAGAGTTTCGTGGTCAGGATTTCGTGGTCAGAGTTTCATGGTCAGAGTTTGGTGGTCAGAGTTTCGTGGTCAGAGTTTCGTGGTCAGAGTTTCGTGGTCAGGATTTCGTGGTCAGAGTTTCGTGGTCAGAGTTTGGTGGTCAGAGTTTTGTGGTCAGAGTTTTGTGGTCAGAGTTTTCGTGGTCAGAGTTTCGTGGTCAGAGTTTTTGTGGTCAGAGTTTTGTGGTCAGAGTTTTTGGTCAGAGTTTCGTGGTCAGAGTTTCGTGGTCAGAGTTTCGTGGTCAGAGTTTCATGGTCAGAGTTTTGTGGTCAGAGTTTCATGGTCAGAGTTTCTTGGTTTAGTCAGAGTTTCGTGGTCAGGATTTCGTGGTCAGAGTTTCGTGGTCAGAGTTTTGTGGTCAGAGTTTCGAGGTCAGAGTTTTGTGGTCAGAGTTTCGTGGTCAGAGTTTCTTGGTTTAGTCAGAGTTTCTAGATCAGAGTTTTGTGGTCAGAGTTTCGAGGTCAGAGTTTTGTGGTCAGGATTTCGTGGTCAGAGTTTCGTGGTCAGAGTTTTGTGGTCAGAGTTTCGTGGTCAGAGTTTTGTGGTCAGAGTTTCGTGGTCAGAGTTTCGTGGTCAGAGTTTCTTGGTTTAGTCAGAGTTTTGTGGTCAGAGTTTCGTGGTCAGAGTTTCGTGGTCAGGATTTCGTGGTCAGAGTTTGTGGTCAGTTTGTGGTCAGAGTTTCGTGGTCAGAGTTTTGTGGTCAGAGTTTTGTGGTCAGAGTTTTGTGGTCAGAGTTTGGTGGTCAGAGTTTTGGTGGTCAGAGTTTCGTGGTCAGAGTTTTGTGGTCAGAGTTTCGTGGTCAGAGTTTTGTGGTCAGAGTTTTGTGGTCAGAGTTTCATGGTCAGAGTTTGGTGGTCAGAGTTTGGTGGTCAGAGTTTTGTGGTCAGAGTTTCGTGGTCAGAGTTTCATGGTCAGAGTTTCGTGGTCAGGAGTTTTCGTGGTCGTGGTCAGAGTTTCGTGGTCAGAGTTTTGTGGTCAGAGTTTCGTGGTCAGAGTTTGGTGGTCAGAGTTTTGTGGTCAGAGTTTTGTGGTCAGAGTTTTGTGGTCAGAGTTTCGTGGTCAGAGTTTCGTGGTCAGAGTTTTGTGGTCAGAGTTTCATGGTCAGAGTTTCGTGGTCAGAGTTTCGTGGTCAGAGTTTCGTGGTCAAAGTTTCATGGTCAGAGTTTCGTGGTCAGAGTTTTGTGGTCAGAGTTTCATGGTCAGAGTTTCTTGGTTTAGTCAGAGTTTCTAGATCAGAGTTTTGTGGTCAGAGTTTCGAGGTCAGAGTTTTGTGGTCAGGATTTCGTGGTCAGAGTTTCGTGGTCAGAGTTTCGTGGTCAGGATTTCGTGGTCAGAGTTTCGTGGTCAGAGTTTTGTGGTCAGAGTTTCGAGGTCAGAGTTTTGTGGTCAGAGTTTCGTGGTCAGAGTTTCTTGGTTTAGTCAGAGTTTCTAGATCAGAGTTTTGTGGTCAGAGTTTCGAGGTCAGAGTTTTGTGGTCAGGATTTCGTGGTCAGAGTTTCGTGGTCAGAGTTTTGTGGTCAGAGTTTCGTGGTCAGAGTTTCGTGGTCAGAGTTTCTTGGTTTAGTCAGAGTTTTGTGGTCAGAGTCAGAGTTTCGTGGTCAGAGTTTCGTGGTCAGGATTTCGTGGTCAGAGTTTCATGGTCAGAGTTTCGTGGTCAGAGTTTTGTGGTCAGAGTCAGAGTTTTGGTGGTCAGAGTTTGGTGGTCAGAGGTGGTCAGGTCAGAGTTTTGTGGTGGTCAGAGTTTTTGGTGGTGGTCAGAGTTTTGGTCAGAGGTGGTCAGAGTTTCGTGGTCAGAGTTTGGTGGTCAGAGTTTTGTGGTCAGAGTTTGGTGGTCAGAGTTTGGTGGTCAGAGTTTTGTGGTCAGAGTTCAGAGTTTGGTGGTCAGAGTTTGGTGGTCAGAGTTTTGGTGGTCAGAGTTGGTGGTGTTTGTGGTCAGAGTTTGGTGGTCAGAGTTTTGGTGGTCAGAGTTTGGTGGTCAGAGTTTGGTGGTCAGAGTTTGGTGGTCAGAGTTTGGTGGTCAGAGTTTGGTGGTCAGAGTTCTCCGGGCTGGGCGTACATGGGCAGCAGGTTCCTGTTGTAGCTCAGATACTTGACCACGGCGCTCCTGACCGCAGCTCTGGTCTCTGGGTCCAAAAGTTCTGTGGACTCTGGCCCCGGTCTCTCCTTTCTCTCCTCCTTTTTTTCTTCTCCTCCGGTGGAAGTCTGGTCCTCTCCCTTCTTCTCCGGCGCTCGGACCTCGGCGTCAGTGGCAGAGTGGTTTGCCATGGCCCGGAGCTCCAGCTGGAAATCTCTGAAACGATCGTGGAAAACGGCCCAACACCAACTCTGCCTGAAAAACCTGAAGAACAGACAAAAAAACCAAACACTTTAATATCACACGCAGCAGGACTGAACCAGGACTAAACCAGGACTAAACCAGACTGAACCAGGACTAAACCAGGAACCAGGACTAAACCAGACTAAACCAGGACTGAACCAGGACTGAACCAGACTAAACAGGACTGAACCAGGATAACCAGGACTAAACCAGGACTGAACCAGGACTAAACCAGGACTAAACCAGGACTAAACCAGGACTGAACCAGGACTAAACCAGGACTGAACCAGGACTGAACCAGGACTGAACCAGGACTGAACCAGGACTAAACCAGGACTAAACCAGGACTGAACCAGGACTGAACCAGGACTGAACCAGGACTAAACCAGGACTAAACAGACTGAACCAGGACTGAACCAGGACTAAACCAGGACTGAACCAGGACTTAAACCAGGACTAAACCAGGACTGAACCAGGACTAAACCAGACTAAACCAGGACTGAACCAGGACTAAACCAGGACTGAACCAGGATTAAACCAGGACTAAACCAGGACTGAACCAGGACTAAACCAGAACTAAACCAGGACTGAACCAGGATTAAACCAGGACTGAACCAGGACTAAACCAGGACTGAACCAGGATTAAACCAGGACTGAACCAGGACTAAACCAGGACTAAACCAGGACTGAACCAGGACTAAACCAGGACTAAACCAGACTAAACCAGGACTAAACCAGGACTAAACCAGAACTAAACCAGGACTAAACCAGAACTAAACCAGAACTAAACCAGGACTGAACAGGACTAAACCAGGACTGAACCAGGACTGAACCAGGACTAACCAGGACTAAACCAGGACTAAACCAGGACTAAACCAGGACTGAACAGGACTAAACCAGACTAAACCAGGACTAAACCAGGACGAACAGGACTGAACAGGACTAAACCAGGACTAAACCAGGACTGAAACCAGGACTAAACCAGGACTAAACCAGGACTAAACCAGGACTTAAACCAGGACTGAACAGGACTGAACCAGGACTAAACCAGGACTGAACCAGGACTGAACCAGGACTAAACCAGGACTGAACCAGGACTAAACCAGGACTAAACCAGGACTGAACCAGGACTAAACCAGGACTAAACCAGGACTGAACCAGGACTAAACCAGGACTAAACCAGGACTCAAACATGTTTCTGTCTCCCTCTGCACAGCTCACAACACTCTGTTACACCTTGTGATGTCATCAGGTGGTGCCCTCGTCTCCAGAAAATTGAAATCCACGTGTAAACATCTTCACTCCTGTCCATCTTCTCAGCATCTCAGCATGTCCTCCTCTCCTCATTTCCTTTCCTTGTTTCCTCTCCTCATTTCCTTTCCTTGTTTCCTCTTCGTTCCTCTAGTTGTTTCCTTGTTTCCTCTCCTCATTTCCTTGTTACCTTGTTTCCTTGTTTCCTCTTCTCCTCTAGTTGTTTTCTTGTTTCCTCTCCTTGTTTCCTCTCCTCGTTTCCTTGTTTCCTCTCCTCGTTTCCTTGTTTCGTCTCCTTGTTTCCTTGTTTCCTCTCCTTGTTTGAGGTTCTGGTCGTCACAGGTCAAAGGGCAAAATGTGCTGCTGTTAACGATGAGCAGGTGTGTGTGTGTGTGTGTGTGTGTGTGTGTGTGTGTGTGTGTGTGTGTGTGTGTTTGAGTGTGTGTGTTTGAGTGTGTGTGTTTTTCTTTTAAAGGGTCAATGCTTCACACCAAGACCAAGACCAGACCAGAGACCAGACCAGACCAGACCAGACAGACAGAGACCAAGACCAGAGACCAAGACCAGGACCAGACCAGACCAGAGACCAGACCAGAGACCAGACCAGAGGCCAGACCAGAGACCAAGACCAGACCAGAGACCAGACCAGAGGCCAGACCAGAGACCAGACCAGAGACCAAGACCAGAGACCAAGACCAGGACCAGACCAGGACCAGAGACCAGACCAGAGACCAGAGACCAGACCAGAGACCAGACCAGACCAGAGACCAGAGACCAGAGACCAGACCAGAGACCAGACCAGAGACCAGACCAGGATCCAGGCTCAGACCCGAACAGTTTTAACCCAAACACTGAGGAAATGAAGGAGGGCACCTGACACACACGGGGAGGCACCTGACACACACGGAGGGCCTGACACACACCTGACACACACGGGGAGGCACCTGACACACACGAAGAGGGCACCTGACACACAAGGTGGGCACCTGACACACACAGGGAGAGCACCTGACACACACGGGGAGGACACCTGACACATATGGGGAGGGCACCTGACACACACAAGGGCACCTGACACACACGGGGAGGGCACCTGACACATATGGGGAGGGCACCTGACACATATGGGGAGGGCACCTGACACACACGGGGAGGGCACCTGACACACACGGGGAGGGCACCTGACACACACGGGGAGGGCACCTGACACACACGGGGAGGGCACCTGACACACACGGGGAGGGCACCTGACACACACGGGGGGAGGGCACCTGGCGCAGGGCAGGGTCTCACCTGTACAGGTCGGGCACCTGTCCGAGGCGGAAGCGCGTGCTCAGGTTTCCCAGGAGGCTTTGCTGTTGCCCGTAGAGACAGAGCAGGTTGTGGAGGGGGAGGGGCTTGGAGGACGCGCAGGTGAATGTCTCCACCTGCTCCTCGTCCCCGAGCTGCAGACGGAAGAAAGAACCAACGTCTGCGCGACCCGTCACCAGAGACGACTCCTTCAACTGAAACACAAACACAAGAAGAGGAAGAGGAGGAAGAGGAGGAAGAGAGAAGGAGGAAGAGGAGGAGGAAGAGGAGCATGACCCGTCACCAGAGACGACTCCTTCAACTGAAACACAAACACAAGAAGAGGAAGAGGAGGAGAGAGGAGGAAGAGAGAAGGAGGAAGAGGAGGAGGAAGAGAGGAGGAAGAGAGAAGGAGGAAGAGGAGGAGGAAGAGGAGCATGACCCGTCATCAGAGACGACTCCTTCAACTGAAACACAAACACAAGAAGTGGAGGAAGAGGAGAGGAGGAGGAGAGGAGGAGGAGGAGGAGGAGAAGTGGAGGAGAGGAGGAGGAGGAGGAGGAGAGGAGGAGGAGGAGGAGAGGAGGAGGAGGAGGAGGAGGAGGAGGAGGAGGAGGAGGAGGAGAGGAGAGGAGGAGAGGACAGGAGACAGACAGGAGCAGACAGGAGCAGACAGGAGCAGACAGGAGCAGACAGGAGCAGACAGCAGACAGGAGCAGACAGGAGCAGACAGGAGCAGACAGAGCAGACAGGAGCAGACAGGAGCAGACAGAGAGCAGGACAGGAGCAGACAGGAGCAGACAGGAGCAGACAGGAGCAGACAGGAGCAGACAGCAGACAGGAGCAGACAGGAGCAGACAGGAGCAGACAGGAGCAGACAGGAGCAGACAGGAGCAGACAGGAGCAGACAGGAGCAGACAGGAGCAGACAGGAGCAGGACAGCAGAGCAGACAGGCAGCAGCAGACAGGCAGACAGGACAGGAGCAGGCAGCAGAGACAGGAGCAGGAGCAGGAGCAGGCAGGAGCAGACAGGAGCAGACAGGAGCAGACAGGAGCAGACAGGAGCAGGCAGGAGGCTCACATATGGCACTTTGCTCCTGGTGGTGGGGGTGGGTTTGGTCACGTGGAGGAAGTGAAGTTCTCCAGGCAGAATTCCTCCTGAAACATGAAACATCATCAGGAACCTCCTCCAGATACACCTCCAGACCTGCTTCAGTCCTGGTCTGGTCCTGTCTGGTCCTGGTCCTGGTCTGGTCCTGGTCCTGGTCTGGTCCTGGTCTGGTCCTGGTCTTGTACCTGTGACTTTCGGTCTCTTGTAGATGGGCAGGAGTTCGCTCTCTTCTCGTGGTTCTGCCGTCACGTCAAACAGAAGAAGAATCTGACGAGCCAAATCCTGCCCCACCTGAAACACACACACACACACGCGCACACACACACACACACACACACACACACACACACACACACAGATTTGCCCTCCCTGTGTGTGTCAGGTGTGTGTCAGGTGCCCTCCCTGTGTGTGTCAGGTGTGTGTCAGGTGCCCTCCAGTGTGTGTCAGGTGTGTGTCAGGTGCCCTCCTCGTGTGTGTAAGGTGTGTCAGGTGTGTGTCAGGTGTGTGTGTGTGTCAGGTGTGTGTCAGGTGTGTGTGTGTGTCAGGTGTGTGTCAGTGTGTCAGGTGTGTGTGTGTGTCAGGTGTGTGTGTGTGTCAGTGTGTGTGTGTGTCAGGTGTGTGTGTCAGTGTGTGTGTGTGTGTCAGTGTGTGTGTGTGTGTCAGGTGTGTGTCAGGTGTGTGTCAGGTGTGTGTCAGGTGTGTGTGTGTGTCAGTGTGTGTGTCAGGTGTGTGTGTGTGTCAGGTGTGTGTCAGTGTGTGTGTGTGTCAGGTGTGTGTGTGTGTCAGGTGTGTGTGTCAGGTGTGTTGTGTGTGTGTGTCAGTGTGTGTCAGTGTGTGTGTCAGGTGTGTGTCAGTGTGTGTGTCAGTGTGTGTGTGTGTGTGTGTCAGGTGTGTGTCAGGTGTGTGTCAGTGTGTGTCAGGTGTGTGTCAGTGTGTCAGGTGTGTGTGTGTCAGGTGTGTGTGTGTGTCAGTGTGTGTGTGTGTGTCAGGTGCCCTCCCGTGTGTGTGTGTGTCAGGTGTGTGTCAGGTGTGCCCTCCAGTGTGTGTCAGGTGCCCTCCTCGTGTGTGTGTGTCAGGTGCCCTCCTCGTGTGTCAGGTGTGTGTCAGGTGTGTGTCAGTGTGTGTCAGGTGTGTCAGGTGTGTGTCAGTGTGTGTGTGTGTGTCAGGTGTGTGTCAGGTGTGTGTGTGTCAGGTGTGTGTGTGTGTCAGGTGTGTGTCCAGGTGTGTGTCAGGTGTGTGTCAGGTGTGTGTCAGGTGTGTGTGTGTGTGTGTGTCAGTGTCAGGTGTGTGTCAGGCGTGTGTCAGGTGTGTGTCAGGTGTGTGTCAGGTGCCCTCCTCGTGTGTGTCGTGTGTGTCAGGTGCCCTCCTCGTGTGTGTCAGGTGCCCTCCGTGTGTCGTGTGTGTCAGGTGTGTGTGTGTGTGTCAGGTGTGTGTCAGGTGCCCTCCTCGTGTGTGTCAGGTGTGTGTGTGTGTCAGTGCGTGTGTCAGGTGTGTCAGGTGTGTGTCAGTGTGTCAGTGTGTGTGTGTGTGTCAGGTGTGTGTGTGTCAGGTGTGTGTGTGTGTCAGGTGTGTGTGTGTCAGGTGTGTGTCAGGGTGTGTGTGTGTCAGGTGTGTGTGTGTCAGTGTTGTGTGTGTGTGTGTGTCAGGTGTGTGTCAGGTGCCCTCCTCGTGTGTGTCAGTGTGTGTGTGTGTGTCAGGTGTGTGTCAGTGTGTGTGTGTGTGTCAGTGTGTGTGTGTCAGGTGCCCTCCTCGTGTGTGTCAGTGTGTGTCTGTGTGTGTCAGTGTGTGTGTCAGTGTGTGTGTCAGGTGTGTGTCAGGGTGTGTGTCAGGTGCCCTCCTCGTGTGTGTCAGGTGTGTGTCAGTGTGTGTGTCAGGTGTGTGTGTCAGTGCGTGTGTCAGGTGTCATGTGTCAGGTGTGTTGTGTGTGTCAGGTGTGTGTCAGTGTGTGTGTGTGTGTGTCAGGTGCCCTCCTCGTGTGTGTCAGGTGTGTGTGTGTGTCAGGTGTGTGTCAGGTGCCCTCCTCGTGTGTGTCAGGTGTGTGTGTGTGTGTCAGGTGTGTGTCAGGTGCCCTCCTCGTGTGTGTCAGGTCCTCCCACCTCTCGTGAGCAGAAGCGTTGGTGGTTCCACTCGTCGCTGTGGTACGTCCTGGAGAACTTGGTCGTGGTTCCGGCGCTGAGGATCCAGGGGTCGTTGGTTTGGAAGCAGCGATCGATCACCAGACGCTCGTCCAGAACCAGGAACGAGTCGAGGAGGGAACGACGCATCCCGGGATCAAGACCACGACACGACACACTCACCAGGGCCTGACGAGAGACCAGGACTGAACCAGGACTGGACCAGGACTGGACCAGGACTGAACCAGGACTGAAACAGGACTAAACTAGGACTAGATCAGGACTAAACCAGGACTAGATCAGGACTAGATCAGTACTAAACCAGGACTAAACCAGGACTAGATCAGGACTAGATCAGGACTAAACCAGGACTAAACTAGAACTAGATCAGGACTAAACCAGGACTAAACCAGGACTGAACCAGGAGTAAACCAGGACTGAACCAGAACTGAACCAGGACTGAACCAGAACTGAACCAGGACTAAACCAGGACTGGACCAGGACAGGACTAAACCAGGACTAAACTAGAACTAGATCAGGACTAAACCAGGACTGAACCAGGACTAAACCAGAACTGAACCAGGACTAAACCAGACTAAACCAGGACTAAACCAGGACTGAACCAGGACTAAACCAGGACTAAACTAGGACTAGATCAGTACTGAACCAGGACTGAACCAGGACTGGACCAGGACTGGACCAGGACTGGACCAGGACTGGACCAGGACTGGACCAGGACTGGATCTGGACTGACCCCGCAGCAGATCTGGACGTTCTCTCCGTTGTAGTTGAAGGTGACAGATGTGACCCTGTTCTCCTCGGTGCTGATGTTCTGGAGGACACAGTTCTTGTAGACCTGGACTTGGACCTTCTCCAGGTTCAGATCCACGGCCCGTTCCACGTCCGGGTCCGGGAGCCAGGACCCGGACTCGGACGGGGCCAGGACCAGGTGGATCTGAGGCCCGGGGAGTCCCAGAGAGAGGAACGTCTGCACGGAGGTGAAGGCGTCGATGTCGTGTCCGTACACCACGATGTTCTCTGAGGAGACACGGCCTTCATCAGACCTCAGACCCACTGAGCTTCTGTCACGGATCATTAGAACCTGGACATTTTTAATCACTAGAATCTTTTTTAAATCAATAAAACTATTTAACAAATGAAACAAGTCCGGGAACTGAGCAGAAGATTTTGTACTTTTGGACCAAAATGACCCTGATCCTACGAGTCTCACTGATGTGCTGGTTTTCCGACATGCCTCTGTTTAGACGTGTGCCGGTTTTCCGACATGCCTCTATTCAGACGTGTGCTGGTTTTCCGACATGCCTCTATTAAGACATGCCAGCTTTCCGACATGCCTCTATTCAGACGTGTGCCAGTTTTCCAACATGCCTCTATTTACACGTGTGCCGGTTTTCCGACATGCCTCTATTAAGACATGACAGTTTTCCGACATGACTCTGTTTAGACGTGTGCCGATTTTCCGACATGCCTCTATTAAGACATACCAGTTTTCCGACATGACTCTATTAAGACATGTACTGGTTTTCTGATATGCCTCTATTTCGGAGGGTTGGTGTTTTATAGTTTTGAGTTTTCCAGTGGGTCTGTACCGTGTCCGTGTCCGTGTTCCGTGTCCGTGTCCGAGCTGCTCCTGGACCCAGAGTCGGGCCTTCGCTCGGTCCTCAGGCTCCTCCAGAGTCCACAGGTTCAGAGGCACCGGCCCAGAGCCAATCAGAGACGGAGCCTGTGGTCACATGACACCGTAAGGTTAAGACACACTTCACTGTCACAGTTTATCCTCTGCATTTGACCCGTCCTTCAGCGTCTGTTTTAAACCTGCATTTGACCCGTCCATCAGCGTCTGAGTTAAACTTGCACTTGACCCGTCCCTCAGTGTCTCTGAGTTTAACCTGCATTTGACCCGCCCTTCAGTGTCTCTGTTTTAAACCTGCATTTGACCCGTCCTTCATCTTCTGAGTTAAACCTGTATTTGACCCGCCCTTCAGCGTCTGTTTTAAACCTGCATTTGACCCGCCCTTCAGCGTCTGAGTTAAACCTGCATTTGACCCGCCCTTCAGCGTCTGAGTTAAACCTGCATTTGACCCGCCCTTCAGCGTCTGAGTTAAACCTGCATTTGACCCGTCCTTCAGCGTCTGAGTTAAACCTGCATTTGACCCGTCCTTCAGTGTCTGAGTTAAACCTGCATTTGACCCGTCCTTCAGTGTCTGAGTTAAACCTGCATTTGACCCGTCCTGCAGTGTCTGTTTTAAACCTGCATTTGACCCGTCCTGCAGTGTCTCTGGGTTGTATGTGAGTGACCTCTGACCTGATACTGCAGACCGGTGCAGAGGATCAGGATGTCGTACGGGAGCCAGACAGCAGGGGGCGCAGGGGACCCAGGGACAGGTGAGGACTTCCTGTGGGAGGACACCTGGACGTGTTTGGACTTCCTGTCGATGGACACGACTTTCCCTCGGAGCGTCTTGACGGACGACAGAGGAACGAGCTCCACGTCTCTGCGGCTGAACACATGACTGAAACACACCAACTCTGCACCGTTACACTCCTCTCCTACTGTGTGTGTGTGTGTGTGTGTGTGTGTGTGAGTGTGTGTGTGTGTGTGTGTGTGTGTGTGTGTGTGTGTGTGTGTTTGATGGTTGTGTGTGATGGTTGTGCGTTTGTGATGGTTCTGTGTGTGTGTGCGTTTATGATAGTTGTGCGTTTGTGATGGTTGTGCGTTTGTGATGGTTCTGTGTGTGTGTGTGTGTGTGTGTGTGTGTGTGTGTGTGTGTGTGTGTGTGAGTGTGTGTGTGTGTGTGTGTGTGTGTGTGTGTGTGTGTGTGTGTGTGTGTGTGTGTGTGTGTGTGTGAGTGTGTGTGAGTGTGTGTGTGTGTGTGTGTGAGTGTGTGTGTGTGTGTGACAGTTGTGCGTTTGTGTGTGACCTGGTTGAGAGGAATTGTGTGTCGTCCTCTGCGTCTCCATGGAGACCGTGTGTGGACACCAGGGTCAGACGATTGAAGCGAAGGTGAGGACTGAAAACACAACACAACATTTACACACAACAAACAAACGCACAAACAGGACTGAACCAGTTCTAAACCAGGACCAAACCAGGACTAAACCAGGTCTAAACCAGGACTAAACCAGGACTAAACCAGGTCTAAACCAGGACCCTAAACCAGGACTAAACCAGGTCTAAACCAGGACCTAAACCAGGACTAAACTAGGTCTAAACCAGGACTAAACCAGGACTGAACCAGGACTAAACCAGGACTAAACCAGGACTAAACCTAAACCAGACTAAACCAGGACTAAACCAGGTCTAAACCAGGACTAAACCAGGACTAAAAACTAGGTCTAAACCAGGACTAAACCAGGACTAAACCAGGACTAAACCAGGACTAAACCAAAACTAAACCAGGACTAAACCAGGTCTAAACCAGGACTAAACCAGGTCTAAACCAGGTCTAAACCAGGACTAAACCAGGTCTAAAACAAGTCTAAACCAGGACTAAACCAGGACTAAACCAGGACTAATGAAGCTCTTTTAAACAGTCGGTGTTTGAAAAGCGTTCGACCTTCACGGTGAAGGACTCGCATCATTCACGATTTTCTGTTTTTCACAAACTGAAACTGGAGTCAAGAGGAGGCCACAAAAACACACACACACACACACACACACACACACACACACACACACACACACACACACACACACACACACAATAACAGACACACAAAAACACACAACAACAAAAAAAACCCAAAAAAACACACAACACACAGAAACACACACACACACACACACAAAACACAGAAACACACACACACACACAGACACACACAAACACAAACACACACACACACACAGAAACACACACACACACACACACAAACACAGAAACACACACACACTCCAGAGCCTTTCAACAGTGATAAGTGACAGTGAGAGAGAGAAAGGAGAGAGAGGATGGAGGGACAGCGGGAGCTCCTCAGAGGTCAGAGGTCACGGCGGGGTCACACGGCGGGGTCACGGCGGGGTCACGGCGGGGTTAAGTCCGTCCTGTCTGCTCCGGGCTCCGGTCAGACTGAAGGACTCTGGATTAGGGTTAACTGTCTGGACGTGGATGTGGGACAGACTCGTGTTCTCATTAAAATCAGGTCTCAGATTAAAGTGAGTGAGGCGGGTTTGGGCGACGCCTCGGGGTCTTCAAGGGTCCGATTATCAGTTTACACCTGATGCCCTTCCACAGACGGGCTTTAAGTCCCACACAGACTCCACTATGACACAGACGGGTTTGTTATGTGAGTTTGGGGCCAGTGCACTTCATTCTCAGTCATGTTACAAGTTTATTTAATCTGGGCCAAGATTCCTTCTCAAGGTCTGAGTCTCAAGGGTCCTGGTCTGATCCAGGTCTGACCCGGGATCCTGGTCTGATCCAGGTCTGACCCGGGATCCTCATCTGAGCCGGGACCCAGGTCTGATCCTGGTGAGGAGCACTCGGCCTGAGGAATACTGTGTGTGTTTTAGGTAAAGGAGACACTGTACAAAATTGACTTTTTAGACGTTTCTACCAGGCTGTAATGTTCCCTCATCGAAAAAACTAAATAGTGGATGTCCTCCACTCGAGTCCGTGAGTATTTTGAAACCCTCTTTATGGTTAACAGTACAAGCCTGTACAAGGCTCCGCCCACAACTTGACAAAACTGTGATTTGTGGAAGTCGATTGTGTTGAGATTGTGTGAGTTTTTATTTCTAAAGCGTTTTTCACAGACATGTCACAAAGACGCTTTACTATTGTAGTCACAGGAGCGTACACAAAAGTGTAATTTCTAAAACACACAGTACAAGAGAACACAGTGATCTAAACATGTAAACATGTAAATATGTAAATATGTAAACATGTAAACATGTAAACCTGTAAACATGTAAACATGTTCTGTGTCGGCACTTACACTTCATATAAGAAAAACATTTCCTCTTTAACGGAGAAACCAGAGGAAAGTCACTGCGCCGCAGACAGAACACACACCTCCTCATGTTCATCAGGAGTCAGACTGAAGAGCTGCTGCTGCTGTGAGGTGACAGGGCTAACCACTCTGCCACTGCCCCTCCAGCTCTGACACTGACACGAGTCTCTGTGCAGCTTTGTGTCTTTGTGTCTTTGTCTTTGTGTCTTTGTGCGTCTGTTTTCAACACAATTCACTCTGAGAGATAAACACGTTTATCTATGACAAAATACAGCCCAGAAACGCACAAACACTATCTCCACACACACACACACACACACACACACACACACACACACACCACACACACGCACACACACACACACACACGCACACACACGCACACGACACACACACACACACACACACACACACACCACACACACACACACACACACACACACACACACACACACACACACACACACACACACACACACACGCACACACACACACACACACACACGCACACACACACACACACACACACACACACACACACACACACACCACACACACACACACACACACACACACACACACACACACACACACACACACACACACACACACACACACACACACACACACACACACACACACACACGCACACACACACACGCACACGCACACACACACACACACACACACACACACACACACACACACACACACACACACACACACACACCACACACACGAACCACACACACACACACACACACAGGCGCCCGCACGTGTGTTTGCAGGTTTACGAGTCGCTCATTGTTCCAAACTCAAAGACGTTTCAAAGCGACAAAAGCAAAAGAAAAATCTCTGCAAACGACTGAAAACAGACGAATGTTTAAGATAATGTCACCGCCTCACAACAGAACTGAACCAGGACTAAACCAGGACTAAACCAACCAGGACAGGACTGAACCAGGACTAAACCAGGACTAAACCAGGACTAAACCAGGACTAAAGAAAAACTGTCTAAATCTCAGACCAAAAGAGCAGGAGGACTAAACCCGGTCTGTGGTCTAACCCAGGTCTGAACAGGACTTAACGAAGCTGAGCCCAAATCTCAAAACTCAAATCTCATTTTCCCATTTCACATATTTTTAAGACGAATATTTTAAAGATCAAATCAGGATCAGGAAGATTTTTTGAACATTGAGGTCCCACTTCCTATAAACTGATAAGACTGTTCCTCTGTAGAAAGTGGGAAACAAAGGGTCTTAGTCCAGTCCTGGTCCGGTCTTGGTCCGGTCCTGGTCCGGTCCTGGTCCGGTCCTGGTCCTGGTCCTGGTCCGGTCCTGGTCCGGTCCTGGTACCAGCAGCAGAGGGTCTCGAGCAGACTCAGTCCAGTGTCTGAGGCTCCACAGACGGTGATCCGAGCGTTCACCACCACCTTCTGCTCCAGAGTGAGCTTCCTGCTGATGAGGAGCAGCGCGAACGGAGCCTGAGGAAGAACAAAAACCTCAAAACACGAAACGAAAAAACTGAAAACTGAGGAAGAAAAACAAAACACAAAATTCAAAACTCAGATCTAACAGAGGTTATGGAAGAACAAAACTCGAAACTCGAAACACGAAACTCAAAACTCGAAACATAAAACTCGAAAACTCGAAACTAAAAAACAAGAAACTCGAAAGTCGAAAGTTGAAACTCGAAACTAAAATACACGAAACTTGGAAGTCGAAACACGAACCACGAAACTCGAAAACACAAAACACAAAACTCAAACCTAACAGTCTGTAAATCTAAATGCAGCATCTGATTGGCTCTTGTATAGCGACTCACCTGCGGGTCTGTGATCTGATTGGCTCTTGTATAATGACTCACCTGTGGCTCTGTGATCTGATTGGCTCTTGTATAGCGACTCACCTGCGGCTCTGTGATCTGATTCCCTCTTGTATAGCGACTCACCTGCGGGTCTGTGATCTGACTGGACGGCGCGTTGACGCCCAGGATCTTCCAGGTTGAAGTCCATCTGAGGTCGAGGTCTGACGGGAACAGCACAGTCCAGGAGGAAGTCCAGAGGGTTTATACAGGAAGTCTGAGGAACCACACAAAAACACCGTTACAGCGTGAGGACAGAAGCAGAGAGAACACTGGACTAGTCATGGAGATGTTACTGATTTATCTGGAATGTTCCACATTATGAAGCGCCTGGATCATTCAGTAGATTCACACGTCTGTGCGTCTGTCACAGTTTCAGTTTTATGTGGACGGGCTCATGACAAAGACACGAACCATGAACCAGGTCACAGTCTTCAGCCTGACACAGAAGGTGGATTTATATTTCTGTGTCGACTCATCACTCTGCCGCCGTCACCTTGATGCTGTCCTTTTTGATTTATGGATCTGCACCAAGGTCTTTGCAATGCAAAGTAAATCACCAACACAACACGAGGAGGCGAGGATTAAAAATGGTGTTTGTGTTTACAAAATGAAGCAGGAAAGAGGAGTCGTTACTGTCTGCGTCTCTTTCCCTGTTGTCTGCGTCAGGTTGACGCATAGTTATAAAATTTTAAAGGTGCACGTCGGTCGACACAGTCAAGTTGGTCCAGAGTCTGTTGGTCCAGAGTCTGTTGGTCCAGAGTCTGTTGGTCCAGACCCTGGTGACTGAGCTGCTTTGTGTTAGCACCCAGACCTGTGCACCCAGGGACATGAGCTGAACACAAACAAACACCACCAAGAACACAGACTGGATCAGCCCCAGATGTAAACCTGGACTATACCAGCTTTAGTCCAGGTCTGCTGTTTGGGGGGGGTACTGTCGGTGGTACAGACAGGTCTAAAGCCAGTCTAAACCCAGTCTAAACCCAGTCTAAACCCAGTCTAAACCCGGTCTAAACCCAGTATAAACCCGGTCTAAACCCCAGTCTAAACCCCGGTCTAAACCCAGTATAAACCCGATCTAAACCCAGTATAAACCCGATCTAAACCCAGTCTAAACCCAGTCTAAACCCCGGTCTAAACCCAGTATAAACCCAATCTAAACCCAGTATAAAACCCAATCTAAACCCAGTATAAACCCGGATCTAAACCCCTAAAGTCTAAACCCCAGTCTAAACCCAGTCTAAACCCCGGTCTAAACCCTGGTCTAAACCCAGTGTAAACCCAGTCTAAACCCAGTCTAAACCCAGTCTAAACCCGGTCTAAACCCTGGTCTAAACCCAGTGTAAACCCAGTATAAACCCTGTCTAAACCCCTGTCTAAACCCAGTCTAAACCCAGTCTAAACCCAGTCTAAACCCAGTCTAAACCCAATATAAACCCAGTATAAACCTGGTGTAAACCCTGGTCTAACCCGGTCTCCTCACCTGTCTGTGGGGGCTGTGGGGGGGGTAGTCCCGGTGGTACAGGCAGGACTTGTGGCTCAGGCGCAGTACCTCTCTGAACAGCAGGTGGCAGCAGTGGCGCGCGGTCGGCCGCAGGACAAAGTGTCGGAGGGCGGCGTGCTCCTCGTACGAGTGGTGACTGAAGTAGATGAAGTTCTCGATGTTGTAGTGAGCCCTGAGGAACTCCACCTCCTGACACACAAACCACTGAAACTCAACACACGGACTGAAGCGCTCTGGAAAAACTCTGGAAAAACTCTGGAAAAACTTTCATAAACTATATCTGCGACATTCACACACAGAGACGTTTACATCTGTGACACTCAGAGCATCACTGCAGTTTTATTATAAAAACTGTTCTGACCTGTTCATCTCGGACGAGCACAACCCCGACCAGCTGAGTCCCGACCTGAGCCACGAAGCACTGCACAGGAACTCCGACCTGAGAGACCGGGGTCAGACCGGAGTTAGACCAGGACTGTAACCAGGACTCACGTTGGACTGGACCAAGACTAAACCAGTGTCAGAACCAAAACTGAAACAGAACTATTCTGAGGACGGAACTTCAGGTCAGAATGAAAATTTTTTTTTTAAAAAAAATGTGTAGATTTAGTAGAACACTTGAACTTTTCCATTTATTATTATTATTATTATTATTATTATTTATTTAAATTATTATTATTTATTTATTTATTTTTATTTAGAAGATTGGGAGTGAGTTTGGGCAGGAGCTGGTCTCAGGTCAGATGTGATCGTGGTGACTGGGTGCAGAGTTTGGGCAGGAGCTGGTCTCAGGTCAGATGTGACGTGGGTGACTGGGTGCAGAGTTTGGGCAGGAGCTGGTCTCAGGTCAGATGTGACGTGGGTGACTGGGTGCAGAGTTTGGGCAGGAGCTGGTCTCAGGTCAGATGTGATCGTGGATGACTGGGTGCAGAGTTTGGGCAGGAGCTGGTCTCAGGTCAGATGTGACGTGGGCGACTGGGTGCAGAGTTTGGGCAGGAGCTGGTCTCAGGTCAGATGTGATCGTGGGCGACTGGGTGCAGAGTTTGGGCAGGAGCTGGTCTCAGGTCAGATGTGATCGTGTGTGACTGGGTGCAGAGTTTGGGCAGGAGCTGGTCTCAGGTCAGATGTGACGTGGGTGACTGGGTGCAGAGTTTGGGCAGGAGCTGGTCTCAGGTTGGAGCAGGAGCAGCTGTGGCTCCGTCAGCCTCCGTCTGTCGCTCTGGCTCCAAACACAAACTGGATGAAGAAGAGGAGAGAGCGAGAGAGCGAGAGTGTTCAGCTCCAGTCAAACGAAGCTCATCGAATCTGGAGCCGAGTTCCACGTGAGGACAAAACAGTGAAATAAAACACCAGGAATTTTCTGAGATTCATGACGAGGGACAGTGTGAGTCTCTGTTTCCGAGCAGAAGCCTCCTGCAGTTTTCGTCCTTCAGTTTCTTTTCTCCCACTTTACACTTTACAACCTCAGGAAACACATTTACAACATGAACCTTGGGCGTTTGTGAACTCTGCTCGCATCAAAATGGGTTTTATTTACAGATTCACAGAGCGGCCGGTTTAGACCTGGTTTAGACTTGGTTTAGACCTGGTTCAGACCTGGTTTAGTTCTGGTTTAGTTCTGGTTCAGACCTGGTTTAGACCTGATTTAGACTTGGTTTAAACCTGGTTCAGA